CATGTAGTTAAATTAATATCAGTGGAAGAATGGTAATAATAACAATAATGATAGCAATATATTGCAAATATAGGCACAGAAAAATAAGGAGCATACTTTCAAGTTTAAATAGAAATTAGCTTTATGAACAATTCCAGCTTTGGAGTCTTAAAAAACGCATAAGAGCAAGACCGATAACGATAAATAGCCGAAGAAGCCAAGAGTATCTGGTAAACGACTATCTGATAATCAACAGACCGAGTTTGGAGGACAAGAAGGTTTGTGCTGAGGCAGCAAAAAATAGCAGAATAAAAAACAAAGAGCTGACAGTTCAGCGCAAATAAATGCTTTGCTGACCGTTTGCAGCGCCAACTAGACTGGAATGAGCGCCAGAAACCAGTCCATCAGAAAAGGTTTGCGCCACAGGTGAAATGGAGATGGTCGTTACCGCAGTAGATGTAATGCTTGTCATGTTAATTGACTTTTCTGCAGAAGCCATGGGCGCTGCAATGGTGTCCGGTGAAACGCCTGGATAGGCAACTATGCCTGGATGTCGAAAAGCACGGATGAGAAAATGTTTTTCCGAATCATTTTTATAGATAGGATGCGTCCGATAGTGTTGGATAAGGTCTTCAAGACTCGGGAAAATCTTCTGACCAATGTGATATTGACTGCGATCCACGTGAACCTTGAAATTACGATTCTTGCCACCTGCATTCATTGTGATAGTCAGGTCACCAGGCTATTCGCATACGAAGGAAATGATAAAAAAATAAAATGAGCACAATCAAATATTTGGAAAAATATAAAAGAATTAGTATGAGCAACAAATATGAATCAAGAGGGTAAGATAAAAAGAAAATGTATGAGAAAATTAGAATGTCCAAATTAAACGTAGATAGAATAGGAGTATATATGGCTGATAATAAATCATAAATCATAAAAACCAGATAACTATAAGAGAATGCCTTTTAAAGTGAAATCTAATGACAATACAAAAGTTTTATTAGTGGATCCTCTTGAATTGTATTAACAGTGGATAAGTAATAATTTGAAATATAAGTTGATGACCACTGGCATAGGCTAGATGGCGTGCATAAGCCGACTTTTTGGAGATAAAGCAAGAGTAAATGCGAGTAAAATCATGGTTTCCAGTGTGTTGAAGTAAACACAATAAATAATGTAAAGATTTTCAGCTCCGCAAGACACATGAAGATGCTTAAATGAACGTAAGATAGTACCTAAAAAATTCAATCCATA